GCGGGGCGGGGCGGGGCGGGGGCGCCCTCCTCCTCCCGCGTTGCGAGGGCAGCACAGGCGTCGCCCCAGGCAGGCGGCCCGCGACCTTTCTGCGTGCAAGGTGCCCGCGGGCAGACCCCAGCCGTTCTCTTCCTCCCTTTCGCCTCCGGAAAGGTGCGCCCCTGGGCAAAGGCAGGGAATGTAGCTGCCAAGACTTCTCTGGACGGACGAGAGAAGGGCTTTGATTTTTCCCCAGTAAACACCTGTCTCCTCTCCCCGTGTCCCCACACTGGCTGTGGTGCCTTACCCCCTCAGTTGCTCCAGCCAGAATCCCAAGGGTCACCCTTGGCTCCTCCACTCCCTTCACTTTGTTTCCCATCTGTCCGCAAGGCTGACAGCTCCACCTGCGACAAGGATCTCAGATCCATCACTTCTGCTGTCACCCCCACCTAACTGTCCCCCAAAGTCCATCCGTTGTGGCTCTCCTGTTTCAAATCTTTCGACAGCTCCCCGTTCACTTAGAATTAGATCAGACCCTTGTGGGTCACATTCCAGGAACACTAGTCATCTTTTTGTTCACCAGGTGCACCCGGCTCGCCTAGCCTGGGTGCCTCTCCACCCCTGCCCACATGGGCAGCTTATTTTCCTCCAGCTTCTCTGTGGCAGACTCAGGGAGGGAGGCCCCTGCAGGCCCATCAGGATGGTCTTCTCTACGCCCAGAAGGCCACAACACAGAGCAGGGAGCTGACCAGTGCAGGGGAGGCCAGGAGGTAGACTTCAGCACACTGTCAGAAAGAACTTTCTGAGACCCTGAGAGGCAGTGCACCCTGTGACTGCTTTGGCCAAGATGCTCAGTGGCCACCCTCGGGAAGGCTACTGCAGTGTTGGGATGAGGGGATGTTTTCCAAGGCCCTGCTGAACTCCACAGGCCCTTCCCAAAGCTTCTAAACGGGAAGGGCTGACTTAGCGAGGATTCTTGGGTCCTGGCACGGTGCCCAGCTCTGTGGAGACCCCTTTCCATCACACACAGCCGCACCAGGTGTGTGTTATTATGACAGCCCGGCTTGAGGGAGGAAGGGACCTGAACACAGAGAGGTGATGTGGTTTGCCCAACGTCACAGAGCCCACATTCTTACCGTTGCCCAAATTGTTCCCCATAAAATCACAAGAGGAGTTGAGATTCTTCTGTTTCCTGAGGGATTCTCATGTATAGTTTTCTAGAACTTAACCATTCAGAGAGCGAATTCAAAGCAAGTACTGTTAAAGGCTCTGTGTGCTTGGGCTCCTGAGCCTTTGCTGAGGCTGCATAACTCAGGGCTGGGGTGTTGGGCACCCAGGGCACCTCTGAAATGCTCCATAGTAGTGCCCTGAGCCTCTCCAAGTCATCTGGTCTGTGCAGAAATGGGGCCGTGGACTCATTGGGTGGCGTGGCCCCAAAGCCCTCATCAGAGCTGCCTCTTGGTCCTGCCTCTCCTGGAAGTCATGGGGAAGATCGGGGGGCGTTCCAGGTGAGCCCACAGGCTTTCAGGGAGCACCTGCCTCGTGCTGGCTTATTTACAGCTCAGCATGGCTGAGCGCCACAAAGACCCTGGTACTGCACATGGTCCTGGGACATGGACGGAAGACCTAGGGGCTGCCTTCCAGGAGCTCCATGGACAGACGCATCTCAGAGGAAGGAGCAGGGCTTGGCCAGATCTTGGAGGATGAGAAGGAGGCAGCCAGAGGGGGAGAGGGGACTGTTTCTGGTAATCCCTCCCCGAGAAAAGCCAAGACAAGGAGCTGCCTGTCATTCATTCAGTAAATCAACTATTGAGCAGCTGCCACCAGCCAGTCCCTGTGGTACTGTGCTGGCTATGGGGGGACACAGAGTTAGGTGAGAAGACAGGCCCTGCCCTCCGGGAGTTCACATTCTGTGCTAGAGACACGGGGAATAGGTGGTTCAGGAGCCCCAGCACGCACAGGATGTGGGGGGTCCCGTGCAGATGGGTGCATTGAAACCTGCAGGCGAGGCAGCGGTCAGACTTGAGAAGAGGACGGGCGAGGCGGTGGGAGGACAAGAACGAGCAGATCAGCTGAGGGAAAGGCCTGGCTCCACCGTCTCAGCTCTTGGAAATCCACCTCAGTACCCCGCTAAGCCAGGAAGCCTGTGGAGTGAGCAGTGGCCAGTGGGCCCAGAGCCCCTTCTTCACGTCCTGCCAGCTGCAGCTCCTGCACTGCACAGTCTCAGGAGCCTTCACAGTCTTAAGAATGATTGAGGACCAGAGAGCTTTCTGTGTGGGTTACATCTGTCGATCTTTACTAGGAATTAAAACTGAGAAAATTTTAAAATATTAATCTATTGTAAAAAAACCCCACTAAATATCTAATGTATTAATATAAATGGCAGGGGGGTCGGCCCAGTGGCACAGCGGTTAAGTGCGCAAGTTCTGCTTTGGTGGCCTGGGGTTTGCCAGTTCAGATCCTGGGTGTGGACATGGCACCGCTTGGCAAAAGCCACCCTGTGGTAGGTGTCCCACATATAAAGTAGAGGAAGATGGGCACAGATGCTAGCTCAGGGTCAGTCTTCCTCAGCAAAAAGAAGAGGATTGGCAGCAGTTAGCTCAGGGCTAATCCTCCTCCAAAAAAATATATATACACACACATATATATATATACACATATATATATATACACACACATATATATATATACACACACATATATATGTAAATGACAGGTTTTTATGAAAACAACCACATGTTCCAAAACAAAATTTAGTGAGAAAAGTGGCATCATTTGACACTTTTACAACCTTTTTAACGTCTGGCCAAATAGAAGGCCACTGGATTCTCACATCAGCCTCTGCAGCCGCTATCCCACGACAGGCTGCCACAGCCTCTGGAAACTGCACTGCACACAGGTGAGAAGATGAGAGTGAAGAAGGCAGCTTGTACTTTGCGGAGCCCTGGGCTACCCAGACCTCACTTTAGGCAGCCCTGTCCTAGAGGTACCTTCTCACAGCAATGTCCACTGCATCTGTCTTCCTCGGACAACTGGGTTCCAGGAGCAGCTGCCCATGTGGGCTGGCTCAGGTGGAAAGGAAGAGACCTTCATGGGCCTGGAGGGCAGGGGGGTCATCATGCAGCAAACTCCTTACTCTCTCCCTCTCTCTGAGGGTCTGCTTCATTTTTCCCCTCACTGAGGCATGGCCCAGCTTAGTCACCCTGACCTCTGGCCTCAGCTCCCAGGAGAGGATGCACTAGCCCGTGGATGTCGGTTTCCCCTGTCAAGTGTTTTAATGGGACCCCTGGGCATGGATGTGGAGCTTGGAGGTCAAGGTGGCCTTCTCAAACCAGATTGAGACACCCTGACCTCAGTGCAGAGGGCCCATCATGGCCTTGTCCAGCCACCAGGCACCTACTTTTCCTTGGTCCTCCCCAATGTACACACACGAGGGCATGGCCTGAGTGGTCCTGTGGCCCCTGCCTGCCTCGGAGCTGTCCCAAGTTGCTGCTGTGGGTCCAGCCCCACAGACAAATACCCTTCTGTCCCTCTTCCTCTTCTTGGCCCTTCCTTCTTGATGCCTCCTTAGCTGACATTTCCTTGAGGTTTCCACATGACCCACCTGTTCTGTTATACCTCATAGATGTTTTCACACACTCCACATATATGTGTTTGGTGAGGGTTCACTCTCTGCCAGGGGCTGGGAGGCAGAAGAGCCTGGGACACTGTCCCTGTTCTCAGGACATTTGGTGTGCAACAGAAGAGGCAGAATAGGACCACAACAGCAAGCCCAGAGCAAACAAGGACGAGAAGCTGCGTCATTCCAATGCTACGGACCCCTGGGTGCAGCACCTCACCCTGCCTGGAAGTTCAGGACACATCCCAGAAGCTGCATCATTCCAACAGCATGGATCCCTGGGTGCAGCACCTCACCTTGCCCGGGGGTTCAGGGCACATCCCAGAAGCTGCATCATTCCAACAGCACGGATCCCTGAGTGCAGCCCCTCCCCCTGCCCGGGGGTTCAGGACACATCCCAGAAGCCTCGTTGCAGCCAAAATCCAACTCCTCAGTGTAGAAATTTGGCAGGTGGCCTGAGGATGGTGTCCATGCGTGCAGGCCCTCGGCTCCTGGCCCACCAAGGGCTCCCGGCACAGCTACTACCTGGAAAAGCTGGCCAGTGCGTCTGAACACAGGACAGGGCAGTAGCAAAGCCCAAGGCATACCAGCTCCCAGGAGAGACCTTGGGGGCCTGCTGGGAGTGGGGGCTCTGGACTCCCTGCCTTTGGGGGATCCTATGAGGAAATCCATTCTGGCCACACACCAGAGCCACTGGGCCTGAGATCTGGGCCTCAGGCTGCTGCCTGCTCTAGAGTGTGGCCTGTCTGCTAGATCACTCAGAGCCTGTCACTTGGTGTCTCTGCTTTCACTGACCATCCACTCCCAGGCGGTATAGAGCTCGTCCAGCTGGGCACACTCACTGGACACTGCCAGGGCCCAGGGTGCTCTCCTGGGGCTCGCGCTCCAGATAGCACAGGCCAGAAGCTCCTGACTAGTGGGGTTTGGGGTGAAGATGCTCAAGCTCCTGTCAAGAGGCAGGGACACCACCGTGTTAAGTGACATCTGAGTAAAGACAGGGAGATGAGGCTGGCCAGGCCCAGTCTGGGAGGGCAGGCAGAGAGAATGGTGTGCCAAAGACCCTCCAGTGGACAGCTGGGTGAGGTGGAGTTTGGGAGGCAGAGAGGGTATGGGAGGCAGGGCCCTGTGACCACTCCAAGCGAGAGGGGAGGCCACGGGAGGGCTCTGAACAGCCACTCCCTGAAGCTGTGGGGACAGGCTGTGGGGATGGTGGAAGCAGGGAGGCCCAGCCACAGTCTAGGCAAGTGGCCCCAAGGCAAGGGGTGCAAGAAAGGTGTCAGGGAGCCCGCTCAGGTGTGGTGGCCAAGGCCAAGGGAGGGATGACTGGTCTCGTGCTGAGAGGGGCCTGGGGCAGGGGTAGGGCAGGAGGGTCTTAGCCAACAAGGCTGTGCTTGAGGAGGGAGATGGCAATGGCAGGGTGGGGGGAGGTGAGAGGAACTCACCTGCAGCCCGGCAGGCACCACACCTGCCCAGCCGACATCACCAAGTACTCTTTGTCCCCCACAGCTGGTGTACCCCAGTGACTTCCGGCTCACGGACAAGGAGGTGGGTCCCGGCCCTCTTGGGAGCAGACATCACCCAGGAGTGAGCCAGCCCTCACCGGGTTTCGTGTGTTTCAGAAAAGCAGCATCTGCTACCTGTCCTTTCCTGACTCCCACTCAGGTAGATGACCCCAACTCTCCCCGGCTCTGGGGCTGGGGGGTAAGAGGAAGAAGGTGGGGAGATGAGGCCATCCAAGAGCACCTGTGGCTTGGGCCAGGGGCGTCACAGCCACCAGCCTGCCAGCCCCACTCCCGCTCTCTGGAGATACCCCAAATCCCACCCTGCAGCAGTGGCAGCTAGGTTCACCCAGTTTGTGTGAAAAGAGGTGTGTCTGGCAGAGGGAGCAGCAGAGGCTGGGCCGCACACTGGGTCTCCCAATCCCCACCTGTGCTCGCTCATAGCAGACGCTTCTCTGTGGGCTAAGTTCACTCTAAAACTCGCAGGCGGGAATTAGGTGTGCAGGAATTAGGACCCAGGGACTTCCACTAGAGATGCAGACCCAGCCGGACTTTCTCTCTGGGGCACTTAGAGTCCAGGGGGGGCCTGGTCTCCACCCCCAGGTGCTGGCAAGAGAGGCTCCAGCCCTGACACAGCATGGCGGGGGCTGCCTCTCTTCCCAGGCTGCCTGGGGGACACTCAGTTCAGCTTCCGAATTCGTCAGTGTGGAGGGCAGAGGAGCCCCTGGCACGACGACAGGCACTATGACACTGGGGCTCCCGTGTCACTGCAGGTGAGCCTGGGCTGCCCCTCCAGCCTGCGCCAAGACTGGGGTAGGATTGGCATGAGTAGCCTTTTTACTTGAAGGTCCCTGGGCCCTGTGTGGAAGGAGAGGCGGTGGCCAACCCCAGCTTCGACTGGGGATGAGCCAGCTCTTCTGGGGACTCACCAGGGTCCCTGGAGCTTTTCCTGAGCACCGTGTGTGCGTGATGTGCAGAGGCCCCATACGCCTTTGGTTTGGGTGCTCCTGGGCCCCTGAGCCGCTTACCACTGTCTGCAGAGATGTTCCCTGTAGAGATGTTGCCCTCTGTCTGAGCCAGGGACCCCTGGGCCTGACCCCCAGGGCTGGGGAGAGTGTGGAACAGCCTCAGCAGGAGGGGGCACGGCAGTGGCGCAGCCTGGCTGACCTGCTCCTTCCAGAGGGAGCCGGCACACTACTTTGGCTACGTGTACTTCAGGCAGGTGAAGGACAGCTCTGTGAAGAGGGGCTACTTCCAGAAGGTGAGCGCCTGGCTGCCCTGGGCTGCTGCCACTGAGAGGCGGGGGCTGGTGGCCATTGGGAAGGACTGACGGGCTAGGAGGTCCTGAGCCTCCAGGAGTGCCCACTCCTTCTGCAGACCCCTGCTCAGATCACAAGGGCCACCCTGCCTGGGGGGGTGCCACTGTGTCCAGCTCTCCTTGCAGTCCCTCCAAGGAATGGGCCCCGCTGCTCCTTCCTCACCTGGCACAGCACCCATGGCTCTCTGTCTCTGGGCCTACGACATCCCCGCTCCTTGCTGCTGGCTGGAGGGGACCCTCACCACACTTTCAGTGTCAGGACAACTACAGTCTTGAACTCAGACACCAAAAGCAGAAGCTCCTTGACCCCTGGGGAGGTCCTCCCAGGGTCTCAGCCACGTGCATTTCCCTCTGAAGGCCCAGGTCCAGCCCCACTCTGCTCTCACCTGAGGTGCCCCCCTTCTGGGGCAGCCTTTGGATTTCCTCATGTCTAATAACCCTGGGCTCCAAGTTGGGCCATTCCTGGGGACAGCTGTCCAATGGAGTTGGTAGGACGTGCTGCCTTGGGCTGACTCTGTATGAGCCAGGCCTCAGGGGTCTCTGCAGGCTCCTGAGTGGCTGGCGTGACATCTCACTGGCCCTATGGGGCCTCCAGTCTCTGGTGCTGGTGTCCCGCCTGCCCTTTGTCCGGCTGTTCCAGGCGCTGCTGAGCCTGATCGCCCCTGAGTACTTTGACAAGCTCGCCCCCTGCCTGGAAGCAGGTAAGTGGCTGTCAGGTGCAGCCAGAGCGGTGTCATTTCCCAGCTGTAGTGCCTGGTGGCTTTGGCAGGCAGCTTCTGCATGGGGCAGGCTCCTGACGCTGGCCTCCTGTGTCTACAGTGTGCAATGAGATTGACCAGTGGCCGGCCCCCATGCCCGGGCAGACCCTGAACTTGCCTGTCATGGGAGTCATCCTCCAGGTGAGGGCTGGCCAGCTGGGGCAGGAAGGCCCTAGGTTTATGGAGAAACCTATTCTCAGCTAGCAGCTGCTCCTTTCATTTCCCAGGTGCGCATCCCTTCCAGGGTGGACAAGCCTGAATCTAGTGCTCCGAAGCAGTGTGGCCACGAGGTGGGGCCCCCGTTCCTGGGCCAGTGGTGCCCCACCTGCCTCAACCCTCCCACCTGCCTGAGCCTCCCCACTTGCCCTGCAGGGTCCCTGTGGGGTGGCCAAACCCCAGGCAAAGCCAGGGGTCTGTGTCTTGATGCAGGGCTGGTTGCCCCCTACTCTCTCCTGTGGTGCAAGGGGTGGTAGTGGGGAGGCATGTGGGGCAGGGGTTGCGGCCCCCAGAGCTCTCCTGGGGTGAGTTGCTGCTTGGGGCTTGCAGGGTGCCCGCCTCGTCCTTGGCCTGACCCCACCCACCCTTCCTCTCAGAACCTGCTGCCAGCCCCAGTGGTCCTCTCCAGCGTGCATGAGCTAGACCTGTTCAGGTGAGCCCCTACTGCCTGCTGCCCAGGTAGACAGTGAGTAAGCCCATGAGGCTCAGGCCTGTGCAGGGTGAGGGCCACTGGGGGGACTGCCCATCAGCAATTAACCCTAGGCCAGTTCCATGAGGAACAGTTGTACAGAAGAGGAACCCAATGCCCCAGTGTCTGCACCCAGAGGAAATGGGCACAGTGGGCAGGAAAGTTCTGGAAGGCAGGTGCAGGGAGGAGAGTGGCTGTGTTAGGAGACACTTGCTCCCTGAGGCTGCCCCTCTCTGGGCAAGTCTGTGAGGGACCTGGGCTTTGGAGACTGTCCTGCTCCATGCTGGGCCCAGCAGGAGCCCAGGCTGCCGGCTTAGGCACATGGGGCACGGGGCCAGGCCATTGCAGGTGGACTGTCAGAGCATGGGATGGCCCTAGACATGTCCTCGGCATCTGCACGTGTCTTCACCACCGTCTCCCCTCTGGGGCAGTGCCCAGCATTCATGGAGCTGGGCCTGCCTGGGCCCTGGGGAGCTGCCTGGGCCTACTGGGGGTTGAGTGCTGGGAGCCTTCCCCTGCTGGGCCTCCCTGACTGCCTCTGCCCCACGTCAGGTGCTTCCAGCCTGTGCTGGCCCACGTGCAGACGCTGTGGGAGCTCATGCTCCTCGGGGAGCCCCTGGTGGTCCTGGCGCCCTCGCCCGCCATGTCCTCGGAGATGGTGCTGGCCTTGACCCGGTAGGCCGGGCAGCAGTGGGAGGGGGCGTCGGGCTGGGCCCTGCCGTGCTCACGCCCCCGCCATGCCCTACCCCGCAGCTGCCTGCATCCCCTGAAGTTCTGCTGTGACTACCGCCCCTACTTCACCATCCATGACAGCGAGTTCAGGGAGTTCACCACGCGTACACAGGCCCCGTAAGTGCCCACATCCTCCCTGCCCACCTGCGCTCCGCCACCCCAGGCCTGCCTCTGCCTCTTCTCTCTCTCTCCTCTCTAGACCAAACGTGGTCCTGGGAGTCACAAACCCTTTCTTTATCAAAATGCTCCAGCACTGGCCCCACATCCTTCGTGTCGGGGAGCCCAGGATGTCAGGTGAAGCTGGCCCAGCCTCTGCCCAGGGGTTCTGGGGAGGTGGGTGGGGGCTCAGAGGCCCACCCAGCCAGGGGCTTTGAGGGGTCTGAGTCTGCGGGCCATGAGCTGTGGCACTGAGGCTCGATCACGGGGCGTGTTTTCTAGGGGACCTTCCTAAGCAGGTTAAGCTGAAAAAGCCCTCAAGGCTGAAAACCCTTGACACCAAGCCAGGTGTGTGGCCCTCAGGCCAGCCCCGTCCTTTCCTTCCAGGACCCAGGCAGCGGCTCTGAGGCCTCAGGGGGCGGGATGTTTTCTGCTTCACCTGATGGGGATCAGGGCAGAGGTGCAGGTGCAGCCAGAGCAGGTGGGGCTGTGGGAGTGTGGGAGGGAGGTCCCTGAGGAACAGGGCACAGCTCTGCCCTCCCGCCAGGCCTCTACACTGCATACACGGCCCACCTCCACCGAGACAAGGCGCTGCTCAAACGGCTGCTCAAGGTACCAACTGGGGAGAGGCTTGAGGGGACAGGGGAGGTGTGCCTGGTGTGTGTGAAGGAGTGCACGTGGCTGGGGCTGCATTGGGGCTGAGCCCATTCCTCCCCAGCAGGGCCTGCAGAAGAAGCGGCCGTCAGACATGCAGACCGCGCTGCTGAGGCGGCACCTCCTGGAGCTCACACAGAGCTTCATCATCCCCCTGGTGAGGCCCAGGGCAGGAGGGGATGGGGACAGGGGGCAGGGGGCTGGGGCGCCAAGCTCACTCCTCTCCCCACCAGGAGCACTACATGACCAGCCTCATGCCCCTGCAGAAGAGCATCATGCCCTGGAAGGTGGGGGTCGAGGTGGGGCTCCAGGGAGGGGTTGGGAGGGTGGGTTTCCCTCCTGATTCTAGAGGAGGGAAGGTCTGGGAGCAGACACGGGAGGAGGTCATAGGTGTTCAGGATCTCCCAGGGCTCCAAGCTGTGTCCACACCTGCCAGCCATCCCTCACAGGACAGAGAAATGGGGGCCACACCAAGGGGCTCGAGGCTCTCTCTCTGGGAGGACTGTCCTGGGATCTGTGCCAGGCACGGTAGGGGCTGGGGTCCTCAGATGGGGAGTGTGTCTGGGGAGGCTCTTGGCCAGCTGAGGTGCAGGGACTGTGAGGCTATGCCCACCCAGGCACACAGGCTTACCTGGCCCCTGTCTCAGACCCCTCCCCAGATCCGTCCCTTCCGCCAGGATGACTTCCTGTGTAGCCTGGAGCACGCGGGGCCCCAGCTCACCTGCATCCTCAAGGGTGACTGGCTGGGCCTCTACAGGTGGGTGGATGGCCGATGAGGGTCTTGAGGCTTCTGCTGCTGGTGGGCACAGGCTGCCCATACCCACCCCTTGGCACACGGGGTCAGCCCCCCAGCCACTGCCTCTCACCACCCATAGGAGGTTTTTCAAGTCCCCACATTTTGATGGCTGGTACCGGCAGCGGCACAAAGAGATGGTCCAGAAGCTGGAGGCCCTGCACCTCGAGGCCATCTGTGAGGCGGTGAGGGGCCTGAGGGGGAAGGTAGTGGAAGTGCAGGCCCAGGGCAGGGGCTGGGGGAGTAGGGGGACATGGGCCCAGGGCTGGGTGAGGGCCTTAGTGATGGATAGCCCCATCTTGTCCCAGCAGAACATCGAGGCCTGGATGAAGGACAAGTCCGAGGTGGAGATCGTGGACCTGGTCCTGAAACTTCGGGAGAAGCTGGTGAGATGCCTCCCGGCTCTGCCCAACCTTGGCCAGCTGGGCATGGAGGTCACCTGCCCCTGACCAACACTGCCCCTGCAGGTGTGGGCACAGGGCCACCAGCTCCCTGTGAAGGAGGCGACGCTGCAGCGGGCACAGCTGTACATCGAGACCATCATCGGCTCCCTGCCCAAGGACCTTCAGGCTGTCCTGTGCCCTCCCTAGGACGGGGCCAAGGGATGTGGTCCAGGGGTCTGACTGCCTCTGGGGGCCTGGGCTGGCTGAGCTTTCCCTTCCCCAGGGAAAGGCAGCCCCACCAGGCTCCCTGCTGCTCCCGGGTTGGCCCCTGCCCGGCACTACCATCGTCCCAGCAGTAAAGGTGACATTTGAAACCGCAGCCTGGCCCCTCACTGTTGGTGGATTATGTGCTGGCCACAGCCTCACCCGCCTCTGCCCGTCCCCGGGCCCCACCTGTCCTCTGCATGGCTGCAGGCTGGGGGGGGCGGAGCCAGCAGTGAGCCCTGCCGGTCTGGGCCCAAGGCCACCCTCTAGCTCCAGGTGCCCATCTGCCCAAGCCCTGTGGACCCTAGGTGTTGTGTCTGTTGTATCCTGTAGCCTCACCAGGCTGCCCAGCCCAAGACAGAAGGAGGCAGCTGACAGGCAGACCCCTGTCCTCACACAGCTCACCCACCCATCTTGCCTGGGCCTGGGCGGTACCTCGCGTAGAGTCATGGGCTTTGGAAGGGCAGAGGCCACTTTGCTGGGGGAGGAGCTCTGCCCCTTGGTTTGTTGGGAGGCCACTAGGGGGCGGTGTGGGGCCCAGCCCGCCTCTGGGAGGGTGCAGAGCATTGTCTAGGTCTCACTCCTGGAACAACCCCACGGGCACCATCTCATTTATTCTGCCCCACGCTGTGTCTCAGCTCATAGGCACTTGAGTCACGCACCTTGTGTCCGTCCACCCAACGTGCAGCCCGCCCTCACCCCCCGTGGCAGCCCTCCACAGCCCCTGCAACCTTGGGGCACCAGCTCCTTGCAAGGAGTGAACAGCCCTCAGAGGGGACACCCCCCATGTGACACCAGTGCTGTGACGCTCGGCACAGTGACAGCACTGTCAGCCAGTGGGAGGGTGGGCTTGAGGCGTGGGCCTAGAGCTGCAGGCCTGCGGTAAGTTTCCCGACCTCCGACCTCCAACCAACTTCCCACACCAAACGTCTCCCTGAGTCCGGTCCTGGCAGCGCGCATGCAGGCTGGGGAAGGGGCTTCCTTCTCAGAAGCCCCACTCAGTTGTGCCCCAGATGGAGTGCTCCCTGACTCCTCCACTCCCCCATGCTGCGTTTAGCAGAGGCACTAGACACCACTGTGTGCTGGTTCCAGAAATGCCCATGTTGCCTGGTCCAGCCCTGACCATGACCTAGGACAGCCTGTCACTGTCCCCATTCTACAGACAGCTGAGCCCAGCCTGGTACAGGGTCCAAGGACATGACTGCAACTAAACAGATAAGACAGGGGCAGGCAGGGGCAGTAAATGCATTTTTACAGAAGGGAGAAGCTGGGGACCTGAGTGAGAAAGGTACCATGTTGGACCCAAATGCCACTCTGGTCAGCTTGCCCCGGGCGGTCTGGTCTGGAGGGGCGGACTCCCTGTCGAGGGCGTGCTCTCCAGGGATGTCTGCAGAGGTGCTAGCACCTTCTTTGTGACTGGCTGGCTCTCTGACTCCACAAGAAGGGGCAGAGGGGACCATGGAGGTCCTGCCTGCGGCTGCCCTTGTTCACAGCTCTCTTCTGCTGGCCAGAGATGGTGCCAGGCCTGGGTCTGGGCCCTCTTATGCTTGTGACCCCATGCATGAGGGGTATGCCCCAAATATCACTCCAGCTTGTGTTCCCCGTATTGTACGGTCACCTCGCTTGACTTTCTGAGGGCTGCTGCATGTGATGGAGGGCTGGGGCACCACAGGCTGCAGGGGAGAGGCTGCAAGGTGGCCTCCGCGGAGCTCCCAGGACCCTTGGCCTCCATCAGTCCAAGAAGACACAGCCAGGTTCCTGATTCCCTGTCTTCCCCGAGGGCTCTGGTTGAGGCCGTGCAGCTGTTCCTCACAGCAGCTTGTCCTCAGGACCATGGAGGGCAGGGGCTCAGGGGAGGGACACTCCAAGGCTGAAGTGTAGGGGTGGAGGCAGCCGCTCCCCTGGAGTACCTGGAGCCACGGAGGGTCCTTCTTCCTCCTGCCCTGACCCCTCTGCACAGACGAGGCCTCCGAGTACAGTGCAGCAGTGGGGTGGAGGGGCTAGGCATGGAGTCCTGCCAGCTCCATCCTGTCCCCCAGAAGTCCCCTCGGTCTATCCCAGGATCAGGTCAGCTCTGGCTTGGCTGAGCCTCTGTCTCCCCACTGGGCTGGGGGCAGGCAGTGAGGAGGGAGGAAGGGGCAGATGGGTGGAGAGAGGCCTGTGGGCAGGGGGGCCTGGATAGGCAGGACCCAGTTGGTCCAGGAGGGTGCTGTGGTCAGTCACTGAGGCTCCCGAGGTTGGAGGGGCCGTGTGCAGGGCCTGGGGGCGGCTCTGGGTGGAGGTGGGCAGAGTTTACCCATCGGCAGCTCTAGGGGCAGGAAGGACAGTGTTCACCCCCAAGCTTCCTGCGCTCTATTTAAAGACTCCCTTTTAGTCTGGGATAGTAGCCTTCCCATATTTTTGGTATTAAAATGCCCTTCTGTGACACAAAGCTTGTCTTGTAACTTCCTTTTTTGATAAAAAGTTGGCATTGCTGTCAGACCCTGACAATTCTAGGGTGCCCTGTGGTGGGGGCTTGGGTGGGCCGTGTTGTGGATGCAGTTCAGGGCTGAAGGGGTGAAGGTCTGGCCTGGCTGGTTGGGGCTGGGAGCTCAGCGAGATGCTGAAAGAACTAATGAGTGACATCCTCCCGTCGATGCCCCAGTGGCCGGGTGTTCTTGAGCATTAGGGGAGGAGACAGGAGGAAGTGGACTGTCTGCAAGAAGAGGACAAGTCTGGGTAGGGGATAGGTCCCCAAAGAGGGCAGGGGTGTCCCAGTGTGGGGGTGCAGGTTAGGGTTTGGGGGATGGTCCCACGACCTCCCTCAGTCCCCAGCTGATACTCACCACACCTTGTCCTATGACTGGAGACTGCGTGAGGGGCAGCAGGAGGGAGCACACACGAAAGCTGGCCCCAGGGAGGGTCCCCACCGCTTCTGAAGTTCAGGGGGCCCCAGGGGCATCAGGACCAGGGCAGATGGGCTGGAGTGGCCAGAAGTGGAGTGATCTCAAGTCCAAAGCTGGAACCCCCAGGGAGAGGCTGTCTGTCACCACTACCTCCAGTCACCTAGGGACGGCTTCTGGGTCCTGGGTGTGGGTTCCCAGAGGCCCGCTGGGGGTGGGCGAGGGAAAGGAAGGCAGCTGGGGTCCAAGGATGGGTTGTAAGGGGACTCCTGGCAGGCGCCCCCTTTCCCTAGGAGGTTGGGGTGTGAGGCTCCAGGGAAGGGGTCAAGGCCCAGCAGCCTCCACCCCCCGGAAAGGGCAAGGGTGTGGCCAGCCTATTCCCAGTCCCAGAGTTGGGGTGCCGGTGCCCAACCTGCCTCAGAATCAGCCACGAGGGCGGGGTGCCCTCCCCATGTGCCGAGTGGAGAGCCCAGGCCTGGGCCTCCCTGTGGCCCGGGGCGCTCCAAGGGTGGTGCCCAGGCCGAGGGGCGCTCGCTGCCTGGGTAAACCTGGGCCGAAACCGGGCCGAACCTCCCCAGCGAGGCGGTGGACCCACTGTGGCCGTGGGGGGTGCGGGGGCGTGGAGCGCCGGCCCGCCACCCCTCCTCTCCACCTCCCCTCTTCTCCACCTCCCCTCCCCCTCTCCCGTCCCCGCCCCCCTATCCCCGTCGGGGGCGGGGCCGCTGCTCCCGCGCTCCGGCCCCTCCTCGGCCACACAAAGGCCCGTCTCCATGGCAGCCGCGCGGGCCGGAGCGCAGCGCCGATCGCGGCCTGGGCGCCATCGAGCCTCGGCTTCGGACGTGCAGGTACGGAGGCGGGTTTTGGGGCCCGCGGAGCGGCAGCGCTGGTCGGGAGGCTTCGCCGTCAGCGCCGCTGCGCCCGCCTGGTCCTCTCGGGGCGCTGGGACCTGGGCGGGTGCCGGCCCGCGGAGGGCTGCTCGGGCCTTGGCCGCCGTCCTGTGTCCCTCGATCTGGGCTGGGCCGCTCCCGCCCCGCGCTCTTCCAGGTGGCAGGCGAGTCCTGCGGCGCGGGGGCGCGAGCCTGGCCGGGCCCAGGGTCCCCAGCCCGGCGCTGCGCCCTCTGCCGCCGCCCGCGTCCCTTTGGAGCCTCTCAGACCCCTTCTGGCTCCCGACCGCCCCTCGCCGCCCATGTCCCCCACCTCTCCAGCCACCAAGACCCATGCACTGGACGGAGATAGTCCTCGTTGTGCAAGAGCTCCGGGCCCCCGGGCCCCTACCCACCGGGTCGCGGTTCCGGGGCGGCTGAGCCCGGGCTTTCCCCAGGGGGCTGGATCCGCGGTCAGGCCTTGGCAGCCCGCTCACCTTTGGGACTCCTAGTGAGGAGAGCGTGGGCGAGGAGCACCCTGTGAGTCCTTGGTCTTGCCTGACCGGGCTGGAAGGTGGGTGCAGGTTCCGGGTTTCAGGGGACTAGGGTCTGCTCAGCTCCTGGCAAGTCCTGGGGACGGGAGTCTGCTTCTCCACAGGGCCTGCTCGACAGTTCCTGGTGTGGTTTGTTGGTGTGGTGTTTGGGTGAACACCTTGGGACCCAGGAAGTCTCAGAACTGCGGAGGGGGACAAGGGGTGGGGTACTCAGTGCCTGGGCCCTGCCCCACACCCTCTCGCCTGCACTTGTGCGTACCTCCTCCTGCAGGAAGCCCTCCTGGATGGGCCCTTCCCACCACTCTGCTCAGGCTGCTTGGCAGATTTGAGGGATCCCTGAGCTTAAGAGCCCCAGAGCTTCCTGCTGCGTCATTGGGCTTCTCTTCCCAGCAACTTGGAAAAGGAAGGAAGGGGTCTATCTGTGCCAATGGTGGCCTGTCGCGGGGTCAGGATGGGGGTGAAGCTGGGCCCCAAAGCTAGTGGAATGTCCGGGCCTTAGAGGGCTCTCTGGGCCTGTGATGACCCTGGGGCGCTCCCACTTTCCTGTCTGATTTCAGCCCTCATGCTCCCTCCCAGCTGGGGCTGGGCCCTGTGGAGAGTGGGGAACATGGCTGCCCAGAGGTGGGGGGCCTCCCCCTGACCGCATGCCCAGATGTTACCTTGGCATGGAAGGGAGATGCTGTCTGAGAGCCTGAGAGTGGACAGGAACCGTCCAGCAGAGAGGGGACTGGGATATCCCTCCTCTGCCCTGAGTGAGAGTCTCTAGGAGGCAGGGTCAGCATCGGCTTGGCTGGCCTGCTGGGTGTTTTTTGTGGTGTGTCAGCCTTTAGGAATTCCCAGAGAAGACTGAGGCCGAGCAGGTGGGCTCGGCAGGTCTGAGCTTCCCACTTCCTCCCCGCGTACCTACTGGGGTCTCATCTCTGTCTGAGGGATGAGGAGAGGCCTGAGGTTGGGCCAGGGGTTCCTTGCCCCAGGAAGGGAGGGAAGTCAGTGAGAAAAACAAGGGTTTGGAATGCGGTCCCCCTCTCGCGCCGGCCGCCTGCCAAGGAGGAATTATTTTGGATTATCCAGCCGTGTCCAGCCACCCGAGGGGGGAGGTGCAGCCATGGGAGAGCGATCCACTTCCGGGGCCGTGGGTTGGGAGCCTCAGGAGGCAGGGAAGGGCAAGTCTGGGCAGCTCCACCACCTCCCGCGGCTGCTCAGACCGGTTGGGGGTGGGGTGGGAGGGGATGCGTCACCCTTGGGTTGGAGAATGCTTGAGGTCACAGCCAGCAGAGTGAGCCTGGAGTGGGCCAGGGCCCTTCTCGGGGAGGCACAGGGCAGGAGGAAACCTGGACCCTGTCCTCGGGGCCCAGGGGGCTGGCCCAGCTAGGGGGCCCCTTTCGCCCCTAGAGGCCTTAGCACCATGGCCTCAAGGCCCTCTGGGACCGCCCTCCAGAGCCAGGTTCGGGGACACACCTTTGGCAGGTTACTCACCCTCGGTGCTTCCCAGGATGCTGGGGAGCAGGTAGGGGCGTGACTTAGTCTGCTTAGGGTGGGGCACTGAGACCTGAACCTCAGGCCACCCTCCTGCCCCCCAGTTGACCCACTGAGTGCCTGACATGCAGCCTCCCTCCAAGCCCCTCCGATAGCCCAGTCCCTGCCCTCACACCCCACCCCCAACTTGGATGTGGCGCCTGTCAGTCCTTCCCACAGCTGAGGGGTCCCCCTGGTAGGGAGACCTGAGATGCAGCCCTGCAAGGAGCCGTGTGGGACGCCGCCTCTGCCCTTTGGGCTTCCCTGGGTCCATGCCTGTGTGTGCCCAAGGCCATGTACCCAGCAGCCCCTGGAGGGACCACACTGGGAGGCAGTGCCAGCAGCTGGGGCAGAGCAGGATGCCCGGGGGCCTGGCACCAGCTCAGGCGAGTGGAGCAGAAGAGATTGAATTGGAAGGCACTGGGGTGGGCTGGCAGCCTGGGGAGGGGTCCATATGGCATATGCCCCTCTTCCCCAGGAGAGGTCTGTTGCAGTTGAGCCATCCCGGGACCTGGGCCATTCTGGGAACATCACAGTGTCCTTCCCGTTGCCTGCCTCATACCCACATCTTGGGGACCAGAGCTGATGGTCACCCCGACGTGGGCGGGGGGGTGCAGTGTTGGGGAAAGGCTGTGGGTTCCAGCGCCCTCCCATGCAGTCCGTTCTCTGATCTGGGCAGGGCCACACTGAGGTACCAGGCCCTCTGCCACTGGGGCTGTCTTCCTGTGAGCAGGAAGTCCTTCCTGATGTCATACCTTAGTCCTTCTTGCTTCAGCAACAGGCACCCAGCTTCTTGTCTTGGCCTCCTAGCTGGGGGGAATAAGCTTTTCTTCCCTGTTGAGGAGCCTCCGGTGCCTAGAGCCTGCCTTGGTTGCAGGTGGAGCTGGGGGCCAGGGGAGGGGGGAGAAGGAGGTAAGCCGATCAGACCTGCCAGGACTCAAACCCAGGCCTGGTCGGTTTCAGGCGAGCTGCAGTGGTTCCCCAGCCTCAACCTCCCTGTGTGAGGTAGGTGTAGTCACTAGTTGGGGCGAGGAGCAGATCCCTCTCCCAGAGGCTAAATGCTGTCTGTGCTTGGGGTGGGGCCTCCTAACTAATTGTCTTTGGTCTCAGATTACAGGCTGAGATGGGTGGATCCGGTGGCCTGTAATTGACTGGTGGAGTGGGGGCACTGGGGTGCAGGGGCCGGAGGGGGAAGTCGCACTGCTTCCCTTTTCTCTCTAGGCCACATGTGGTCCCGCCAGGTTCTTTCCGTCTGTGGTTTCATATTCCCTGGCGAGCTTCTGCTTCTCTCTGCCCCCAGACCCTGCTGCTGACCAGGCAGGAACCCCGCCTTGCCCTGGGGTTCCGCAGCTGCAGGAGTGTTTAAAGGACCAGGCTGGGCCTCTGCCTGTCCTGCGCCATCGCCCGCCCATGGCTGTTGGTTACTCTGTTCTGTGGAATTCACGAACCTGTGACAGTGACTAGACCCAGACTCCCAGTGGAGCCCCGGATGGCTAGGGATGGCATCCAGGCTGTTCATGAGGACGCCTGCAGGTCTAGCCCACCCCTGGTGGGACCCCAGGGCGATGTCTGTGTCACGGGGAGGAGCCCAGGGCTGGCCCAGACCCGGAGCTGGGGTTCCGTGTCCCCTCCTGTGGCTCAGTGCTGCCGTCACACACAGACACTGGCCAACCCACGTTGCCTCCCACTGTGGCTGGTGGGCCTCCGCCCCGTGGGCTGGCAGCTGGTATCCCAGTGCACTGGTCGGGGGAGGGGCTGGCCCTGGTCTGGGATCAGGGTCGTTAGGGGACAGGGCCTGGCTCGGTGCCCAGACCCTCCTCCTCAGCCCCTGAGATCGAGAGACTTCTGACACCTGGCAGCTTGCCATCCTGGTGCCGGGTGAGTCCTGGCTTTGGGAGCTGTCTGGAGGGAGAGGGAGTCCTTTTGGGTGCAGCCTGGGTTTTGACCCAGGCTCTGCCGTCAGTCTTGCCCTGGACACATCACTTCCAGGTGTGGAGACCAGACCCCTGGGGTGGTACCCCCTGGTCCCTCGGACACTGTTGGCTAGCACTTCCCACATGGTGGAGAGGCAAACAGGCGAGCTCAGATGTCTGTGCCCAACGCTGCCCCTGCTGGGCCCTCTCCTCAAGGAGAGCAAGAAAGAGGAAAAAGGTTTGATGTCAGCCTTTCAGAAGGCCACCTGTGTCAACACAGTGGCTGGGCAGGGTCGTCTGCTCCCCAGGCTGGGATGGTTCCGGCCGGCTGGCCCTGTGTGGGCCCTGTGCTCTCTCCCAGATGCCCTCTGCTCTGGTCTGGGGCCCCTGGGCCAGCATGCCACCTGTGCAGGGCATGGGCTGTAGGTTGAATGGGGGCCTTGCTGGGGGGCACCACTGGCTCCCCTCCAGGCACCCTGGCAGGCCCCAAGCTGGCTGCTCAGGCTGAGGCCGTTCCAGGGGTCTTCAGAGGCCTCAGCAGGGCGTGCTGAGGGCAGCGTAGGGGATGGCGGGAAAAAGTGATTGGCTTGGTGCCCATGTAGGTCCAGTGCTGGCGGGGGAGAGGTGCTGGACAGGGGTCTGGGAACAACCCTCATAGGCCAGGGAGCGTAGCTCTGTCTTGGGATGCAAGGGAGCCTGTGGCATGTGGTTCAGAGGCTGTGGGGCAGCAGCCTGGCAGGATGGGGGTGACCTGGGTGGTGGGGGGCCCAGCTATGGGGAGGGCGGGGGTCTCTGGGCCACACACGTATTTTGGCCCCCCGCCAGGGTGTTATTGGAGCTAGGGGCCTGCTTCGGAGGAGCTGCAGGGCCCAGCACACTGCTGAGGTGAGGCTGGTGCCCCTGCAGGGAAGGTAGCAGCTGCCCTGGGAGGGGAAGGAGGGACCCTGGCTTGGGCCGCCCCTCTCCATGCAGTAAGTGGGAGAAGTGGGTGAGTGAGGGCAGCCGGTGGCGGCGGGGGGCGGGGGGGGGGGTGGTGTACTCCAGCGGGGCCCACCTGCTCCCTGTCAGCCTTGGAGATGCTCCCCAGCCTGGCCAGGGGCCTTGAGGGGCTTGGCCTCCCCTCCCCCATCTTGGAATCAGGCCTGATTTGGGGGCCACCCTGAAGGGACCTCAGGACCCATGAAAGGATGTCAGAATGGTGGATGGGAGGCCAAGGAAGATGAAGAGAGGGAGACCCAGGGAGGCCTGTCCGCCAGGCCCAGCAGTACTTCCTGGAGGTGGCCCCGGGCCCAGCCCCTGTGTGTGGCAGCTCCTTGCTGAACTGAGTGAGCAACTGAGGGGGGAGGAGTTTGGTCTGGCCCCAGGGAGCTGGGGGCTCCTTCCTGGGTGCCTTGCAGGAAGGCTGGGCACCCACCTCCTCCCATGCAATCCCGGCCACCTTGTTGCCCCCCGACACAGGCATTGAGTCTCACTCACCACCCTGAGCTGGGGCATTTCCTCACTGGGAGCTCCTGTCCCTCTGCCTTCCCAAAGCCCTAGCCCAAGTGTTTGTTCCTGTGGGGCCCTGCCTACTGTCCCACCTTAACCTGGCCTCTAGACCTTGTCCAGTGCCCCAAGCACCATGCACCCCGCCAGGCCCCTAACCCCTCCTGGACAGAAGAGCTCCTGGAGCAGTTCCCTGCAATGCTCTCTGTGTTGTCCCCTCTGTGAAGATGGCCCTGACCCCACTTTTCCCATACTTGGTCCCTCCCTCGAGGCCAACTCCAGGCCTGCCCAGCTCTGCCAAGCCTCTCAGCCCCTCTGGGCAGCCTGGGCTGACCCAGTGCTGGGGCTGGCCGAGACCCCTCCCACCCACAGCCCCTTATGGCCCAAGTACCTGGGTCTGGGGTACCTTCGGTGGGCTCTTTGTCCTGGGGATACTGGGGCAGGACCCCTGTTGGCAGGGTCCCCCCTTGGCATCACAGACATGTGTGCCAGCACATGTGTGGTCATGTGTGTGTGAGTGGTTGGCTTGCATGCTGGCTTGGCACAATGCCCCAAGCTAATCGTGGGATTCGGCTGTGAGGGAGGAGGCGGGGCTCTGGTGACCGCTGAGGCACTGACAGGCTGACAGACTGACGGGGAGATTACAGGCCTTGCTTGCTCCTCACTCACACTGGCCCTCATCCGTCCGCCCCCCACGCCCAACCCCGCCTCCTGCACAAGGCCCAGGAGGGGGCTCTGGTCGGGGGATGGTCCTGGTCCAGCTGCAGCCGCCATGAGCCTCGGGCTGCCCTGGCCAGCAACATCCAGCTGGCTGTGGGAGGTGAGCCTGCAAAAGGGGAGATGAGTGGGGGCAGCTCAGAGATGGGGTGGGCAGGCTGGGGGAGACAGACATCAGAATCAGTGCTCACGCCTGTTATTGAGCTCCAAATGCCCACAGCACTGCCCCTAGCCTCTCCCAGCTTGGATGGGGGTTGGGGGCTCGGTACTCACATAGGAGGCCCTTCTGTGGCTGGGCAGCTGCCTGAACTGCTCTTTCTGCCCGTGGTGGCCAGAGGCCTCATCTGTGCTCCAGACCCCCTGCAGATCCCACCCCTGCCCAAATCTGGCCCCTCCCAATCTCTGGGCACCTCCTACTCTCCCTGTCAGTCTGACCACAGGTTATCCAC